GGAGGCAACTCCACCGAAGGTTTGTGTGGTTGTGACCTCGACCTAGCCGGTTGGGATAATTGAAGGACTGCCGGCACAGTCCCTCTAGTAGAGAGCTGCGCGGCCCAGCTGGCGACCAACAGCCACAACGTCGGCCCAGGGATGGACGTGACCACTCTCGAGGAGAGGCACGGGGAAAGAATGGGAGGGAACAAGAGGAGGAGGAGGAGAAGGAGGAGGAGGAGGAGGAGAAGGAGGAGGAGGAGGAGAAGGAGGACGACGACGAGCAGCAGGACGAGGAGGAGGACGAGGAGGAGGACTCACGTGCCAGCGTGCTCAACACTCCTCAACTCCCCGACCTCCCAACGGAGGAGGGACGCGCCCAATCACGGAAGGCAAACGCTAGATTGGGTCTTCCTGGGGAGGGGGGCACGTGCGGCCCTCCGGCAGGGATCGTCTGGTCTGGACTCCATCCAACGCAAAAGCACGACGTAGGTGCGAGGCTAGCAGGGTGGACGGAAAGACGATCAGACCCCGAGGGGAGGGATATTGGCGGACCTGCAACTGCTGCTGCTGCTGATGATGATAAAGATGATGATAACGATAATAGTAACAATAACAATAATAATAATAATAGTAATGATGATGATAAAAATAAAAATAATAATAATAATAATAATAATAATAATAATAATAATGATAACGATAATGATGATGATGATGATGATGATGATGATGATGGTGATGATGATGATGACAATGATGACGATGATGGCAATGATGATGCTGATGATGATGTTGGTGGTGGTGATGATGATGATGATGACGATGATGATGGTGATGATGATGCTGATGATGATGGTGGTGGCGGTGGCGGTGGTAATGATGATGACGACGATGATGATGATGATGATGGTGATGATGCTGATGATGATGGTGGTGGCGGTGGTGAGTGTGGTGGTAATGATGATGACGATGATGATGATGGTGGTGATGGTAACGATAATGTTGATGGTGATGGTGATGGTGATGATGATGGTGATGATGATGAAAATGATGATGATGATGATGATGATGATGATGATGCTTTATGGCGATGATGATGGTGGTGCTGATGATGATGCTGATGCTGATGCTGATGCTGACGCTGATGCTGATGCTGATGCTGATGCTGATGCTGATGCTGATGCTGATGATGGATGAGGGGGAGGAGGAGGAGGAGGAGAAGGAGAAGGAGGAGAAGAGGAAGAAGGAGGGGGGGATGAGGGGGGGCTTAAAAGGCCCCGCGAAGGCCATGCAAAGGCCTCCTCCACCTCCATCTCCTCCTTCTCCTCCTCCTCCTCCTCCGCCTCCTCCTCCTCGTCCTCATCATCATCACCACCACCACCACCACCACCATCATCATCATCATCATCATCATCATCATCATCATCATCATCATCAGCATCATCACCATTATCATCAGCAGCAGCATCATCACCATCATCAGCATCATCAGCAAGCAGCAACAATCAATCATCACCATCATCAGCATCATCAGCATCAGCATCATATTCAGCAAGCATCTCATCACCTCATATCTAATCATAATCATCCATCATCATCACAAAGCATCACAAAGCATCAGCATCATCATCATCATCACACATCAATCATCATCATCATCATCATCATCTCATCATCATCATCATCATCAATCCAATGCTCCATCATCATCGTCCTCGTCCGTCACATCGATCATCGTCCCGAGCGTCGTTCGTCCTCATGTCTCGTCGTTATTCTGCCGCATCGGTCATCGTAATCGTCGTCATCCAAATCGTCAAAAACTTCTAGTTCACATCATCGGAATCATCAGCATCAAGCACAACAGCATCATTATCATCAACAACATCATCGCCATCATCATCAGAATCATTACCTTCATCATCATTATGACTATTACCATCAGAGTAATGATCATCAGCAGCAGCAGCATCATTGCCATCATCGTCAGCATCAGCATCAGCATCGGCATCAACATCATCATCGGCAGCATCATCATCATCGTCAACAAGAAAGGCATCATCAGCAGCAGCATTATCAGCATCATCCTGAACAGCATCAGCAGCAGCATCATCCTCACCCTTATCCTCATCCTCATCAGCATCCTCATCCTCATCACCATCCTCATCATCATCAGCATCAGCATCCTCATCATCAGCATCCTCATCCTCATCATCATCCTCATTATCATCATCCTCATACTCATCCTCTACCTTGTCCTCGTCAACATCTTCACCCTCATAATCTTCATCCCCATTCGCATCCCCATCCCCATCATCCTTATCCCCATCCTCCTCCCTCTTCTCCTCCTCATCCTCATCACCATCATCATCATCAGAATCATCCTCATCCTCATCATCATCATCATCATCAACATCCTGCTCATCCTCATCATCATCATCATCATCATCATCATCATCATCATCATCATCATCATCATCATCATCATCATCATCATCATCATCATCATCATCATCAT